ATAGTAATATATGTTACACTATTAGATTTCGATTTCTAAAATTAGCGGCATCACTGGTGCATACTACAAATATCTGTAGCCACGTAGCCGTTTTGCATTTTCTTTCTATACAGAACCATTCTTTTTACACGATTAGTATACTTTATTATCATAGGATAATATTTATGTATTTCTTCTAAGTGGAGCCAGAACACATAATCCCAGATTTGATGGTTGAACCATACTGCCGCACAGAGTCTGGAGAATAGTAGTCTATCATGTCTTTATTTTCCTTATGAAATCATAGTGGGTTCCCTCGCATCCCCCAGGAGTAGATTTTCCTTGCCCCAGACCCTGATAACGAAATGACTCTCGTCTAGACGTGTACGACTCATACATTTCATACAGCCCGATCTGCTCACTCCTTGCACCTTCTCTGGTTAGTTCTCACGTTGGCACCGCGGCTCAAATAAAATAATCCGTGTGTCTTGGTGGTTCCCATATCGACATTCATTTTGGGGGCCACTTTACAAAACCACAGCCCCCTATATTAACGGCATCTGTTCAAAACGATATGGAAAACGTTACCCCAAATAAGTGCACACTAGCCTTTTATAGCTCTGTGAAAACTGACCGTACTTGCTATACATTTGGTTCAAAGCCAAAACTAAAAGTATCAAAACTGTCCTTTATATTCACACTTTCCTTATGAGGAAAAAAAAAAAAAGAAGTACTAAAGTAATTAAGCTTCCAAAATCAGTCAGTTGGCAGTGGATCTGATTATACTTTAGTCCTACAAAACTTATTAAATAACAGAAATTTATTTTCAATATGGTTGTCTACTTAAAACTGAGTTTGTATGTGTAATGTGAGAAATACTCCTTTAGTAATTTACCCCATAGAAAATAGTAATGTGTAATTAGCAGTTTAGACCTGATGATGACGACAATATAATAATAATAAATCATAATCATAATAATAGTAATTATGAGCAACACCAGCACATATTCTTATTCTTATTCTTATTCTTATTATCACCACCACTTGCTATTATTATTATTATTATTATCATCATCATTATTACAATGCCATTACATATAATCTGAATTTTGGCCCATAAAATAAAACAAGGAAAGCTTTGTCTGCGTGAAGAGGAATCACAGCCTTGGTGCACCTGCTCATTCAGTAATTACATTTAACTCGGTTTCATTCCCTTCATTGTGCTTATATAATCCACCATCCTTTCTTTTATGCTCCAAATTATCTGTCTCTATTTAAGGGGTCAGATTTCTGTAAGGGAAGGATAGGTCCATTAAATCTTACACTTTAATGGGTATGTATAGCCACAACGTTTTAATTTTTATAGAATATGAGAGACTAAAACCTCTGTCAAGTGTTTATCGTTGTCTGTGTCCCTGCCAGTTAGATTCATCCTCTCTGTTAGTAGAGGTGACCATATCCACTGAGTCAGAAAGTGATAAGACATTTAAAATGCTTCAATTATCACCAATAGGGATGATCTTAGGTGCTGACCAAACCAACTCTGAACATGGGCTGCTTCGAACCTGAAAGGAGCTGCTCCTGAACATGAAAGAAAGCTTCTTCTATGCTGCCCAATCAGCAGCTTGATGTAAGCAAAGGGGTTAAATGCATTGACATCATTGACCTTACAAACCTACATGCCTATATTTGGTAAATGTCATTTACCTAATATTGCTATGTGTCATATAAGGTAAATGACATCAACGCAACCATCCGCCCCTTTGTTTACATGCAGCTGCGGGGGGCCGGGAATGCTTAGCCTGCAGCTGACTGGGTGGAAGTCCTTTTTCTAAGGAGCTCAGTTTAGGGCGGGGTTCGGTCCAAACCTGAGCTCATCCCTAGTCACTTCCATAGCAGCTGAGGGTAAATCTACCAATGTGGACACCTGTTTCAGTAACGACTGACTAAGAAGATAATCCCACCCACTTTGTAGTGCTTTTCTTTAACTGATGAGTCACCAGGACAGGAAGTAGAGACAAATCTCCCTAATGGGTCACACATAGCACAAAATTAACAGACTGGGCTTTTCTCTAAAAAAAGTTTTGGCTATAAATATACTTTAAGCACTTCCCCTCATTCAGCTACACATCTTAAATGACACCCTTCTTATTCTTATAAGTAAACAGAGAAACAATCGGAGACAAGAAGTTATATGGTAGAC